TGCTTGCCAGATACATGATTCGATAGTTGCACAGACAGGATTGTATAGCAGCCAAATTCATTCTTTCTGGAAGACAATGGTTATTGGTGATGGTGTTAACATTCCTAAAGTGGTTAATGATTTGACCGAGGAGGCTGCACATTTTCGGTCCCTAATTGATGAAGTCATGGAAAGTGACCCGGCCGTACGTCGAAATGTAACGCGAATCATTGAAGAGGAGCTACATTTGGATCATACAAACCTTGAAGAACCACATGTCAACCTCAACACTCGTGGTCGACCGAGGAAAAATGACACCAGGCGTGATCGTAGTTATTTCGAGCATGTGAACCGTCAACACACTCAACGTGGTGGTGACCCAGAACCAGGTAATATTAAAATTCTATATGTAATATTAAAATATGTAAACTTAATACTTGTAGCTTTACTAATAATTTATCTTTTAATTTTGTGTTTTAGATCCGAGTGACATTAGTCAATGCAGGTATTTGAACTTGCTTCCAGGCCCAATGCTTCCGTACATTTCGTCTTGGAAGGATGTCATTGGTGATGGGAACTGTGGCTTTCGTTGTGTCGCCGACTTCTTCTTTGGCGATCAAAATCTGTGGTTTGACGCTCGGGAAACAATAGCGAACGAGATCGCTGGTCATCCTGATTTGTACGAACGGATTTACGGGCTTGGGCGACTTTGGATGAACGTAGAGCGTATTCGATGGGATGGTGGGGCTGTCGGGGAGCGGCATTGGATGGTTACAATTCAAGATTTATTTCCTATTGCTACGTGGTTCAACGCAAGGGTGATTTGTCTTGGGGTAGGCCTAGTACCAACTTGCTACTACCCATGCATCACAGTCTTACCGCTTAGGGCACGCAACAGGGTTCGGTCACCGACTCAAGAGTTTGTGATTGCTACAGTTGGTGGATCACATTTCATCCGTCTTGACCTTGTACCTGATTCACCTCTCCCGCCGATCGCCGGTTGGTGGACTGAACACCACGAGGATAGTGTTAATGGATGGGATCAACAATATCAATTGAGAAGGGACATGTGGGATGCATTAGTTAGGTAGTTTGTAATGTACATTCACTAACTTTGAACATTTATAAGAAAATTAGAATTATGAAATTAATTTTAAATGTATTTGCTTTTAATCTAACATGATATGCAACAAAACATAAAATATAAAAATAAATAAGTGTCTAGTTTATACATTACATTTAAAAAAAAATAAGTTCATAACATAATTAAAACCACTAACACAACTTCTAATCAAAATAATCTAATGTCCCATTTTTTACTTCCAATCAAATACAAGCTGCTCAGTCATTGTTCGAGTCACACTCGACATTTCAGGATACTCAGCCAGTGCTCTTTGGTGAATCTCCATGGACCGACCCATCCACTGCAAATCAAACAATAACATATTATAAACACAAAAATTCATAGAAGTCATTGTTAATATTATAATAAGCATAAATACTTACATAATCAGTGTTAGTCCGCTCAGGTAGGTTGCTTGTAACTCCTGCAACTGGAAATACCCGCGGGTGAGAAAACCTGTACAGCCACTGCATGTAACCAGGCGCAACCGAAGGAGCTGCAACACTAAGCCTGGTGAGGGAACCTAAAACTACACTCTGAGATACCCCAGGGACAAACCTCTTCCACATCACATCTGTCATCTCGGTCGGGAAGTCTACCCGATACATCTTCAAGTTAGTCGGCCTCTTGGCCTTCTCTGGCCTGATGATCTCGCGGGGAATGCCTTGCACGAAACCAAGCTGGCGCACCACTCTATCATGCATGTACGGCTCAATGATGTTACGGTACTGGATGCAGCCAATGAATAAAGTGGGGGGCACTCGTAATGCAGGATCAGCTCCGTACGGTAGCCAGTTCACCTCACGGTCAATAAGCGTATCAATTCTAGTACGAAAAGATAACAGGCGCTCCAGGTTCTTGCTAGGACATCCCGCTCTAACATCCCAAGCAGACGCACGAGGCATTTGAAGGTCCCGGGTCAAGGTACCCTGCTGTGGCCGAAAGCACGGAAAGTACTCGTAAATCCACGCTTGCAGAAGCGTGAGACAAGCAGCAATCGAATCCCCTTTCCGTGATGCCGTGCCCAGTTGCTGATACAAGTAGGCCAGTGCAGCTGTTCCCCAAGCATACTCGTTAATAGGGACATCCATGTAGCATAGCTCGTGGAGGAAGGAAGGATGCGTACGGTTACCACTCTTGTCTACAAACAGTGTACCTCCAAGCACTAACCACAAGTATCCATTAAGCTGATCACTAAACTCCCGGTCAATCGCCAATGTCGACTCAAAAATCTTATCAGTCAACACCCCACTACCCTGCCAAATGGTCTTTGTGCCGCAAATCTCAGACAGATCATCTAGAGTCATATCCATGGTGATCGAGCACGCGTCCCGTAACACGTCCGTGCTAGGAGTAGTGGTGACCATATTGCCTGCGACACGTAACCCAAGTATGTTGTACACGTCGTGCAACAAGATCGTAACTCCCCAAATAGCATGTGAAAGGTGTTCGTATCTGGCTGCTGCCACCTCTCAACAAAAGCATAAATCAACGGCCAATCAAGTCTTTTAAACATCAGGCCGGGCAAGTGAGACAACCAACTAGCATCAATCGCCGCGAGGTCCTCCACAGATTGACGACCTCGCCAAGTGAACAAGTCAGAACATAACTTTGTCCTACTCAAACAGCGTAAAACACTACGCTCCTGCTCGATTTAGATATACCGTGCCACGTGACAGCCAAAACTAGGGATAACAGACCCATCCTCAGGCCCACCCGACATCGGTTCCTGCACTAACCATGCCTCTACAGAGTTGGTAGTAGGCTGACTCGATCCACTACCAACAAATCTCCCAAACTGACCCCTATATACCATATGGTAATCCTGAGGGTCCTGTTCTTCATCCCGGTCACCAGCATGACTAGCCGAACATTCGTCTTCCTCGTCAGATATGGGTGCTTCACTTGCAGAGTACAAGGGCCGACTACTACCAGACTGTTGGTCTCCCGACCAACCACTAGTAGACCCGTATTGCTGCTGCTCGGGCTGAAGCGGTGTTGAATGAGATGTCTGTCTCCTAACAGACGCATTCAGACGTCGTGATATTGCATGTCGAGCACCAGAACCCTCGATCTACATAAAATAAGTACAAAATCCGATTTTAGTAATAATAATAATAATAATAATAATAATAATAATAAACAAAAATAATCAAAACAACAACACCAACAATCATAATCGTAATAACAACAACAAAAAAATTAAAATTAACAACAACAACAACAACAATAACCATAGAAAGCCAAGAATAATAATAACAACAACAACAACAACAACAAATAATAATAATACTAATCATATTTTTAAAAATAATAACACTACAAAATATGCTAACCATAATAATAACAATAATAATAATATCAACAATAATAATAACAACAATAATAATAATAATACTAACCATAACACTTCAAAATAACAACAAAAATAACAAAATCCAAAAAAAAAAAAAAAAAATAACAACAACAATAACCATAATAACAATAATAATAAAAATCATAATATCAACAAAATAATAATACTAATCATATTTTTAAAAATAATAACACTACAAAATATACTAACCATAGTAATAACAACAATAATAATAATATCAACAATAATAATAACAATAATAATAATACTAACCATAACACTTCAAAATAACAACAAAAATAACAAAATCCAAAAAAAAAAAATTAAATTAACAATAAAAAATTACAAAACCATATTATTAACGGGAAAAAAATATAAAAAAAAATTGGAACTTCCGCCCAAAAAATCCAGAAGTTCCAAGGAGGATCCGCCTGGAATTTTCGGATCCTCCTTGGAACTTCCGGATTTTTTGGGCGGAAGTTCCACGTTCCGTAATTAAAAAAAAAATTCACCTGCTCGCCTCCGTCACTGCCGCCTCCGCCGCTGCCTCCACCGCCGCCAAAACTCCTCCCTCCGAACATCAGCCTTATGCGCCTCGAATCACCCATCTTTTTTGTGTTTTTGATGATTGTTGTTTTTTAAAATGAACAAAAAAATTTGGAAGAATTTTTTTTTTTTTTTTTTCAGATTTAGAGTGTTTTAGAGAGTTATTGAGTAAGAGAGTTAGAGAGAGAAGTAAGAAAGTGAGAAATGTTGGTCGGGAAGTGGAAAAAAACCGTATTTAAATGTTAGGGGTAAAATTGGAATTTCAAGTCAAAAAGGGAGCGTTACCCGGTAAAATGGGAGTGACGAATAACAACACCCTAAAATATTCATCTCCCACAATCGTTCTACTTCTTGAAAGAACCACATTTGATTTTGCCACCATTAGGAGCGGCGCTTATGCCGGAGAACTGATGTTGCCGCCACCGTCACCGTCAATAACTCACTGCTGTTGTAATATAGGGATGTAGGAGTGGTAATTTTTTCAATTCAATTGTTAACTTATATGATTCATCAAATTATACAAGAAAATATATTAATATATCTTCCATACTTATATGATTCATCAAATTATGGTAGATGGATCTATTTCCAAATTAATAATGTTAGTACATATATGCCATCTATCAAGCTCACTAATTCACCGACTAATAATTTGACCACTATTATTATTTCTTCCTTTTTCTTTCTTTATTAGAATTATGTTCACACAGCGGTGAGCAAATCTATTCCATTTGAATACACTGATAAAGAGATGTAATGTTAGTCAAAAGTGATTTTTTTTTTCCTAATCCCGTTAAATATATTACTACATTAGGTATGGTCAAATGGTAGAAAATAAGCTTATATAAAGGGGTTGAGATGTATAGCTAAAATATCATAAGATAAAGAAACATCTCTCTAATTAAACAATAACATGGGAAAGATGGCTTCTCTTGTAGTCACTCTATTAGTGGCATTTGTCTCATTGAGTGTGCCTTCACTAACCAATGCTGATTACACTTATGCTTCTCCCCCCCACCACCAGCCTACCATTACACCTCCCCACCACCTCCGGTCCACCATGAGAAGCCACCCAAGGAGCGTTATTCACCTCCACCGACCACACCTTACAAGTCACCATCACCTTCCCCGGTTTACAAATCCCCCCCTCCTCCTGTTCATGAGTATCCAACACCATCACCAGTGTACAAGTCTCCACCTGTAGACAAGTATCCACCACCAACTCCCGTTCACAAGTCTCCCCCAGTTCATGAATATCCACCACCCACCCCTGTTTATAAGTCTCCACCAGTCTCACCACCTACCCCGGTGTACAAGTCTCCACCAGTTCACAAGTATCCACCACCCACCCCTGTGTACAAGTCTCCACCAGTTCACAAGTATCCACCACCTACCCCTGTGTACAAGTCTCCACCTGTTCATGAATATCCACCACCTACCCCAGCTTACAAGTCTCCACCAGTCTCACCACCCACCCCAGTGTACAAGTCACCACCAGTGCACAAATACCCACCACCCACCCCAGTTTACAAGTCTCCACCACTCTCACCACCCACCCCAGTGTACAAGTCACCACCGGTCTCACCACCCACCCCAGTGTACAAGTCACCACCGGTGCACAAGTACCCTCCACCTACTCCGGTTTACAAGTCTCCACCAGTTCACAAGTACCCACCTCCCACCCCTGTTTACAAGTCTCCACCTGTTCATGAATACCCACCTCCCACTCCAGTTTACAAGTCTCCACCTGTTCACGAGTACCCACCACCCACACCATTTTACAAGTTCCCACCAGTTCACAAGTCCCCACCTCCCACCCCCGTTTATAAGTCTCCACCAGTTCACAAGTCCCCACCATCACCTAGTTCAGTCCACAAATCTCCACCAATCCATCATGATCATCCTAAACCTGTCTCCCATCCCACTCCTTCCCCTTATATATACGCTTCTCCTCCACCCCCTTACTAAAAGGTTCAATTTGATTAATGAGGTCAGTATCATATAATTCATATTTTTTTACTAGCTTTCTACATGCATAAAATATTTAATTTTCCGACATTACAACTTGGGATAAAGACTGAAACTTTGACATTCAAGTATCTTTGAAACAATTATATCTCTACTTTCCTTAACAAGCGTTTATAATTAATTAGTACGTACTATTATTATATCAAAATAAATGTTATTCAACTTCCCTACTACATAATTAAGAAACAAAATATAAGAAAAATATGCAAATTAAAGCTCAATTCTTTTGAGCATTTAATCGGAATAATATTAACCCTTATTTATTTTTATCTTTTTATTTACAGGAAGTGAAACAAATTGGAGGACATATCTATCTTAGCTTTGTCGATGGAGCTAGAAGCCTAGAATATGAGATTCTTGAGATGATATATAAAGTTTGTTGTTTTGCTTTGAGATTTAAATTTTTATATGAATTAATAAATTAGTACAAGAAAAATTAAAGTTGTATAATTATATCATGTGATCTAGTTGTAATCCAGTGCTTTGCATGATCTGCATGGCTTGGATACAATTTTGTAATATTATTTTGTAAGTTCATGTTGACATAATAAATTGTTACTGGCCTTTTGGTACGTAAGATTCTTAACTTTTTGACAATGTTTTGTATCCCTTTAACAAAGTTGGAGAATATCATTGACTTACTCGTTATATATAAAATATTTAATCAATCAATAATTCTCTCTCTCTCTCTCTATCTCTGATCTAACTTTGAATTTTAATGGCTATTGAGCTTTATTATACATGGAAACTAACAAAAATAAAAAGATTACCCCCAATGCAAAAATGCAGAAGCTCTATTGTTTGGACTTAAAAACTCATATTATTCGACACAAGTATATGTTCAAGTGTCTGATCTAACTGCTATTTTATAAATAAAAAATAAAAAAAGAAAATAATAATAATAATAATAATTAGGTCCAAAATGAAGAATTAATATGTCGCACCCATATATATGTAGTGCAAGTAACGGTTTGTGTAGAAGTACATCATCTTTTACATTAAACTTACAAGTAATTTAATACGGGGATTAAGGATCAAAGGGAATTCATTAAAAAAAATTATTAGTACATTAATGGATCTCATTATCCAATTTTAGTAGAAAATGAACCTAATTAGACAATCAATTATATAATTCATATTAGCCTATTAAAGGTTTCTCTATACCTAATTTGATGTCGTGCAATTTAACCAGAAATGCCAACTTTGGCAAATCATAAACTAGATGTGAATGCTTACCCAATATGTGATTTAAATTTCAAAAAATATACAAGTACTATACACAACAATCAATTTAAAAGAATATATAGTAAGTAAGCAAGTTGTTTAGGTATTTTACGTGAACATCAAGCTCTTTAACAATTGTCGTGTACTCGTATTATAGAGATGTAGGATGAATATCATAATTAAGATGGCTGTTTTAGAACTATATATATCCGATGACAATCACAATAATTTCCTTTTTAGAGAAAGCTCAATTTGCTGTTGTTAAATTGACATGAGAAATAGAAAATGCAAGCTGCAACTTCCTTAGAAATTTAAAATTCCCACATAACATATTTAACCTAATCATTACTTATCTCTTTATTTACAAATTTTCAACTTCTATGAAATGCAAAATTCCATGTGAAAATTTTGCATTATCAAACAAGTTAACCAATTTCCTAGGAAATACACGAGGTAAGTTTTAGGTAGATTCCACCAATATAAATTTCCACGAAAATTGTCTTCTCATTGCAACCAAACAAACATTATTACTCCGTAGCCAAAATCAAACGAAAATATACATCTACGCATAAATTTACGTGTCCAAGCTACGTCCAGTGGACTAAATACGTTAACTTACTGTTATCTCATACAAAATTGTGACAACCAACCTAACTATGTTTACTTCCTATGTTTACTTGCCATATTCCATTTTATGCACTTTTTGATATAAGAACATGAGACAGTATTAATTTTTATTGTCAGAATAAATGGTACATTCCCACCAAATTGGAGGACATATTGAGATCATATCTAAGAGGTTGTAAAATGCTCTAAATGGATTATAAGAAATCTATAAACTTTTTTTCTTTTTTTTGACAGGAAAGAAATCGATAAACCTAGAGTATGGAAGTAATGGAATTTAATCATTTTGTTTTGATTGATCACCTCCCAAACAATTTTGCTGATGGAATAAGTGAAAAACATTAGTGAGAGTCCTGAGAGATATTAAGCTTTTGCTATGCTCAAACTCATTTTGACTTATTACATAAATAGTTTGTCTTGTGTGTGACTGGCCACACCGTGTAACTACTTATAAAATAACAAAGTAACCCATATAATATTAACCAAATAACCCCTGTAACACCGACCGAGTAATCCCTATAACATTGATCGAATAACCCTATAACAGTGGCGAAGTAACCCTTTAACACTGACCAACTAACCTCGATTACAGTGCACCCGGGTGCACCATGTACATGGTGCACCCGGAAAGAACATTAGACATATTTTAAAGAACATGGGCAAAAAAAAGAACATGCTAGTGTTAGAAAAAGAACATACCTATGTTTGACAAAAGAACATGTTTGTGTTTGACAAGAACATGACATTACAAGAACATAAAGTCTTTACAAAAAGAACATGGTATTTTTCATGGTTATTTAGGTGTTGAACGTGTTTGAAAAAGAACATTATATTTGACAAAAAAGAACATGTTCGTGTTTGACAAATATGTAGGTGATCATTGGGTGGGCCGGGCCAAGATTAAAAAATCAGCTCACTTCTCGGGTCGGGCCAAATTTTGGGCCGAAGTTTTTGTGCCCAAAATTGTCCGGCCATGCTGTAACACCCCCGATTTACTAGCTAATAATAAATAAGAAATAAAGGAAAAATAGACAACCTTTAAATAAAATTGCGGATGCATACACTTAAATCGGGGGTATTACCGCCACACTCAACAACCTGTCGAGTGTTAAGGCTTACAAAATCCCAATAATTACAACCCAATAAACTAGGTGAGCTATTTATACAACTTTATAAACTCATGACATCACACTAATCGAAACACTTGAGCTCCTTTAGCTACGACCACTTGATCAACCTGCTTAGAAAATCTTGACTGCTCACCATTAAGGACAAATTCCAAAATAGATAGTCGCAGGGCCACCATAAGAAAAAGACATGGCCACAAATACAAATAGCACAATAAAACAACACACACGTCAGTAAAAAGCTGAGTAATCACCACATATCAGAATATAGAGTATAATATAATAATTAACATTATTAGATTAATTAAACAATGTAGTTCGAAACTACATTACACATTGTACTCTGAAAATAACCTTTGTCAAACTCAACCTCGAATAATAGTACGAACCTTTACTCAACTCATAACCAATAAGTGTTCCATGCTCGTTGTTCTATACCTAGCCTTGGACATGGGTAATTCGAATAAAACCAACAAGTATAAAAACTTGAATACTCTCAATAACCAAAAAAAAAACCTTAACCAGACCACATACGGGTCAATTCCCACTATAGGGAACCATATAAAAAAAATAATAAAGATTGTACCTCATTCTTAACTCATGATTATCATCCGCTTACCAACATGCCAAGGACTAAGGTATACAACGTTGAGCCTCAGACCAAAAACAAAATAATAATTCCTCAACCTTTTGATCTCATACATTGATCAAATAATAATTCACATGATAATAAATAGTATCTCAATATTGGCACATGTTCCCAAATAACATAACAAGATCAACTCAATTCAATTCAAAAACATCTCAACTCTTAGGGAAATAAAACTAGTTCCCAAAAATAATCAAATCTTAACCAAAAATAATACTCTGCATTAGTAACCCTAAACCTCGAAAAACAATACTCCCTATAGCAACAACATAAAACCCTAGTAATAATCAATTATAACCAATAAAAGTAATACGATACTCAAATCCAGTCAAATCATATAATACAAATAATCAATCATATAAATATACAAACTTGATCACACGAACTATATATAATTATAAAATTTACACATAAAAATAATATATCACACATAACAATACGAAATATAATACTTGCGGAACATCTCCAAAGTTTCGTGTGATGATTACCTTTAACTACGGCAAGAAATAGCGCTGGGCAACACTGAAGTTCGTAAGCTTTGATTATACGAAGAAAAATAAATTTTTGAGGCTTCTTTATCGATCACAAAGTGATGTAATCATCATATGAAACATTAGATATGATGATGGAGATTGGTTAATGAAAAACAAATTAAAGAGAACAAAAGTTAGTTTTGGTATAAGAGTAAAACGCATAAAAAAAACGGCCAACTACTTTTTTTTTTTAATCAATATTTTTTTTAAGGGTTAACAATAGTTATAGGGTTTAAAATAGCTTATATACGTTTTGAATTGTACAATGCTATTTAAACAAGATAGGATTTTAAAACTTTACGAACTCTAAATAAAATTATTAGATTAGAAAAGTTATATAATAAATAAAAATAATTTTTTTTATAAAATATATTATATAAAATCATAAAATATTCGGGTATTACAATCGGGCTTTTCGGGTCGAGTAAAAAAATCAACTAAAACACATTCCCAAACCCGCCCAATAAATTAAATTTAAGGGCCGAGTCCGACCCGATTTTGGGGGCGAAAAAATTCTGCCCAAAACCCGTCCAAAATCGGGTCGGGCCGTTCTAACTTTGATCACCTCTAGCCAAAGAACATAAAGTCTTTACAAAAAGAACATGATAATACATTAAAGAACATGTTCTTTTTTCTGGTTACTCGAGTGATTGATTTTTTTTTTTTTAATGTACATACATTAAAGAATATATTGTATAATATAAAGAACATATTGTATAATATAAAGAACATATAGTTCAAACTCAAAGAACATAATCATCAAACTTAAAGAACATATTATGCTCATGTTCTTTATAACTATATATAATGTTCTTTTTTTGCCCATGTTCTTTTAGATATACCTTATGTTCTTTTCGGGTGCACCATGCGCATGGTGCATCCGGGTGCACCAACCATACATTATCTATAGTGGCACATATAAGAATTTTTGTTACACCAATAACGCAAAATAAGTTTTGACAAAATAATGGTGTAAAACAATTTTACACACAAATAAGATTAGCTCAAATAAGATAAGTAGAGACAAAATAACTCGTGTTTAACATAGCACGCCTATGCACAATCATTTAATTTAACAAAAGTCTTTGTTTAGGGGAACATAAGTTTATGGCCTAGCCAACTCCCCAGCATAAAATATTGGGTCAAGCAGCAAGTTTACGAGTTACTCGCATTATTATATTCAAAATTTCTTGCAAAAATTCAAAATCTGCCTAACATTTTAACAAAATTTGGAGTATATAAATATAATCAATTTTGGTGTCTGAAAATAATGTTTCTGCGCGAAGAAAATCAAGTGTGATTCACCAACTTGATGTTTATTATTGTCTGCCATCAAAACCATTAATATGATTAGATTTGATGACTATATAGCCAAAATTCGTTAATTTGATTATTATTAGCACAAGACAGAAAATTAGGACTCCTCGATTCTCTTTAGGTGTTGCACAATCATCAACCTCAAGTTTTCCTCTTTTGTTAATTCGTTCAAATAATGAAGGGGATCTCCTATGGATCGTGTTAAGTTAGCTAATATAGATGGCAATAGAAGGGTGATAAAGAGGTGATTTTCGAAACCCTTTACCATTAGTCCGTACAATTAAAGGTATGATTTACCGACATCATACATGCTCATAAGGTACAAGTACATGAATAAAGTAATAGCTTTATTTTTATTATACGCAAAGTACTACCGATTAGATATAAAAAAATTTCCTTCAAAAAAAAAACAGATTAGATATAGAAAATTAAGTGATTTTCCTCCAAAATAAGAATGAACCTCACCACAATCGTGTAAGCATTTCTTCAATGCATGGCAAGAACAAACAAGAATAATTTTGTGCCATAATATGGCATTGCCGACAACCCTCGGACTTTGTGTAACAGCCTCTTTGTCAATAAAATCAGTACGGACTACGGAGTAACAATTTTGACTGGACTCCTGCCTCTTGACTTGAATTTGGATTAACTTCGTGGATAGATTCGTTTTGAATTTTCAATCAGAGTTCTTTATTCATGAATTTATTTATACTAGTATTTCTTCTTACTATACGAGTACTCCCTCCGTTTTTAATACTTGCTCCATTTCTATTTTTTGCACTATTTATTTGTACTACTTTGACTAATGTTTGTGATTTATACATAAGAAAAAATATAGCCTTGTGGGTACTTGTTGAAATCATCTCAATGAATAAATTATTAATTTTCAATTGTTAGAATTTATACTTATTGGTAATTAAAGATACAAGTGATCAAAGATTAGCACCAACATGCGTGTCCAAGAAAAATGGAGCAAGTATTTAAAAACGGAGGGAGTATTAGTTATACTGTTTCAAAGTCGACAAAATATTGCTCAAATTTGACATCACTAGTGTATGTTGGGAACTTCAAACACGACAGCATTTCATCTCTACACTGAACCAAAATTCAAACACTTCATTTGGACCATTTCAAATGAAATACTAGAAGTCAAACAAACCATAGGTCAATTTCAAAAAATTCACTTTACACAAACTTTTAAATAAAACGGATGTTCAGTAAATTACTGAACATCCGTTATAAAGTGACAGTAAAATGTGCAAAAGTTACACTAAAACGCACAAAAGTTACCGTGACATATACAAGAGTTATTTATGCTTTATTGATAAATTTGACAAAAGTGTACCCGATTTACGGTAAATTACTGAAAACCGGGTGTATACAAAAGTTTTCCTTCAATTTAAACCAAAAACTCATCCCTAAACGTTTGTCCCATATATATACTTCGTATAAAATAATCGTCCCTATAAGATTACTCTCATGCAATTACTGATCATGAGACCACACATTTACTCTTACAATCGCACATAAAATACTTTTGATCCCACCACTTTTGCCTCTTATCAACTCTACCCGTCCTAAAGTTAACAAAGTAAAAAAAGATTAAGGGACAATCTTTTGGGACACAGGAAGTGGGAGTTTGGGAGAGAAGTGCATTTTCTGCCATCTAAGAAAATAAATAAATAAATTATATTCCATTAAAAAAAGAAAGAAAGAAAACTTCGATTATCATATAACAGCAGTTCATTGCAATTAAAGAAAGTCGCTCTCAATTCAGATTCAGCAAACTGCAGTAGTGATGCATCATGCAACAGTAACAAAAAGGCCATAAAGAATGCTATCGTTCGCAAATCTGATTCAGCCACAGGCTTGCTGAAATGCTGAGATAAGTAGAATACATAGTTTTCAACAAGACACGTAGAATACGTATTCTTTGAGAAGATTTGTATTACAATCGTGGGACTACTCTAGTTTTTACAATGAAACTCGTAAAGTATTATCTACTATCACTATCACTCTTTGTGATTGTACATTAAGTATATGTTTCTAGCATAGTCAATATGTTGTTTCTCAATCCCCAAACCATCCCAAAAACCAACACAAAAGTAATAAAAGAAAAAAAATTCTCTTGTGTTGTTTACCAATTCAGCCATCTCTATAATTCACAATATATTTCACGAAGTAGAGTTACCAGCTACTGTTGTTGCAGCAGTTTCCTGCAAACAATATAAATTTAAAACCAAATTGGTGAACATAGAAGTACCTAATGCAAAGATATTGCTTAAATGTTTTACCTGAACATTCTTTAAGATATCTTCAAGCTCTGCTCTTATAATGGAAAAGGGTGGCCGTTTAAGAGGAGCCTCATCCCAACATCTCTGCATTAAATCGCCAAGTCTAGGGTGTATGTCCTTTGGAATCTCTGGACGAAGTCCCTGAAATTCGGGGAGGGGAATCAAACAAAGAAAATATAAATCCATATTCTTTAAAAATCAAAAGTAATAAGCTACAAATAAAGATCATGGAAAGTTGAAAAGGTTAATGTTGATAGTGCACTTCTCTACTAGACTAACAAGGAATGCTGTCGTGGACGGAAAATTAGATATACTCCTGAATTAGAGAACTACTGACGTGTACTGGTGATGGTGATTAGACGCAACCACACTGCCATTAACACCATTAACACTTGAAATTGGAGGTCATTATTTCCCTTATTCTATTCATAGAATTTATCTTAAACCCTCATTAATCGGAAAACAACATTAATGGCTTATTATTCATTGAATTAAACAGGCGCATCTCTACACAACACAACTTAGTGAGTTAGATAAAATCCGATCAAATAATGTTTTCTTAGGTGATTCCGTGACAGAATTACATAAATTCATTTCAGGGTGGCACATGTATGGAACATCAAGCTACCAAAACACAAGTTTAATCAAACCCGCATTTCAATTTACACAGTTGTCCAGAACAAACTACAAAGGCAAATCCATGAAAAAATTTCACTCATTTCAGTGTGACAGATGACGGAATAAGAAGCTAAGCAACCACAGGCTTAATCAGGTACGGATTTAATTGTCAGTTGTTCATATTATAGCTTCATTCACCTTTAGACACTAAGCAGAACAAAAATTTCAAGTACATTACACACTAGTTCATAGATAAACGAAGTACATAAACAGAATGCCACGGTCAAATATTATTATATTGAACTATCATGGAACATACCTTTCTAACACCTAATGCAGCTTGCAGTGGAGTCATATTCTCATATGGAATCTGCAGACCACAAAAACCCCTCAACACAACTAGATTTTCACACCGTGAAAGTTTTCACAGAAACTCAAAAACAAGAGACACATTAGAAAATACCTTGGCTGTCAAAAGCTCCCATAGTACAATAGCAAAACTAAATATATCAGCATTCTGGTCATAGGGCTGATGGTTTATCACCTTGACAAAAGGGTGGAAAAAAAACGCAGAAGAAAAGAGGTTATCAGTCCACAATCTATTTGCCATGATAACAGAATTTCATATGCAGTAAGCACGCACCAAACAAAAAACTACCATGTCAGGCAATGTTGCAAAAGCAGGTAAATATTTAGCATTTCAGCAATGTCAAAAGAACAGCTTAAAATTCAGTTTTCATAAGTAACAAAAGCTACCCTCAAAATATGTCACTAAAGATGGCTCTCCGGGCATCTCCCATTTTGTGTTGCACACAGAGGCAACTCATATAAACATATAATACTACCTCCGTTTCTTTTTAGTTGACACGTATTCCTTTTTAGGAAGTTTTTTTTTAGTTGACACGTTTCCTTTTGGGGTAACTTTTTTACCTTGCATTTACAAGCTACGCCACTTGCTTTTTCATTCGCACTCTCTCTCCTCTCCTTAATATATGTGTCTAAATCAAACGCGTCAACTAATTAGAAACGGAGGAAGTAGGAAATAACGACACATAAAATTCTTCAGTGTAAATAGAAAGAAAATTGAGCTATAATAAAACTAGGAGAAATCAGCTTTCACCAACCTCAGGTGCCATCCATCTGTATGTTCCTGTTTCTGCTGTCATAACACCTTCCTGATGCAGAAAGCGAGCAACACCAAAGTCTGCCACTTTGACGACCTTGAGAAACCAAGTCATTCAAATTTTAAAAACTAGTCCGTGAAGACAGCAGAAACTCATAAATTAGGACACAACAAATTAGACAACTTTAGGCAAATTTTAAAAGAGGAACTTAGCCTTCCTATACTTTGAAAGACGCAGGTTCTGAACAAAAGTGCCGGACAACTTTTGGAAATTTTCAAAAGGATCTAACCCATCCTTGTTTCTATGCTTTATGTTCAGTTTTTTTATTTATTTTTTTTCTTGCTAAATATTTCTTGCTTAGAGAGCATTTTCTCAGAAAAAGAAAGCTTGGATCTACCTCCAATTAGAGACTTAAAGAAAGCCATAACTATCCAATTTTCAAACAATGAGTAACAAACAAAAAAGAGGTTGGAAAATTTAATTGTACTAGGTTAGGATTAGTGTTAGAACAGAAACTGAACCAAATCCTTGTGCTAAAGAATCAAACATCAAGGAACCAAACTTAGAAGGGGAATGAGTGAGGAAAATAAGATTTCTGATATTTGGGCACCTGGAACGGAGCTGAGGAAGCTGTATGTTTATATGAACTACATATGTATACACATAAACTTCATCAAAAAAATATTTTGGATTACCAAAGAAAATAAAAGCCTCATAGCAAACAAGATGCACTATATTTGTCAAAATTAAGCCAGATTTCAGCCTAAGGCACAAGTTTAAAGGGGTCCAAGTTAATACATTATTACCTTTATAGCCTTATCCTGGATTCTAGGAAGCCGCATCTAGAGCTTGGATGAGAAAGACGAAAGGAGCAAGGCACATACACACTATAGGATATATGGATTCAACTCCCAAATTATGTAATGAGACTGTGAAACTGGAGTAAACTATAGGATATATGGTTCGTCTCCCAATTTTTAAAAGGTACAAATAGGATCTAATCTAATCCAGAGGTGAAATTTCAAAGGTGCAAATCACACAAGAGTATAAGAGGATTCAATAAGGCATTAATCAGGTGCATTAATTATAATATGGCAACTGATATTGGAGGCTTCCATTAAAGAAAAACTAACGTTGGTTTGAACTTACAATAAATAAATAATAAACAAGCCCAAAACCAAAATGCTCAGATTTGTTTTTTTTTTTTTATATGGACTTCTAAACTTCTTCCATATCAAACCAAAAATTCAGTGAGAAACCAACTATGAAATTACAGTATGGCACTGATTGCAAAAGTAAAGACTAGTGACAGCAGCAGCAAGAAAAGGTTGTAATACATACTTGAAAAGTATCCATAAGCAAATTTGCTGATTTCAGATCTCTATGAATTATATCATTGTGATGCAAGTATTCCATCCCTTTGGAGACATCAATCGCAAATTTTAACAGCTCGGAAAGCTTCAAAGCTCTTCTATTTTTGTGCAGGTAGTTATACAGACTTCCACCAGGCATGTACTCTGCAAAAATTATCAAAGGCAACCAGCAAGATCATCAGATGGATACAAAGTAGAAGCAACATCAGCAGATTTGTCTAACCAGTCAAAGAAGGTAACAAAATAAAAAGATGCCAAGAATTGCTTGTTGGCTAGAACTTTGGAAGGTAATGGTAAAGCTTGAAATATATGCACCACAGGTAATGCTACCAACCATTAAAAAAATAATAAAAAAAGCAGGCATGCAATTCTATAATGAGAACTCAAACATGATCCATATGAAAAAAGGATTGGAAATGAACAACAATGCCACACTAACACAACATTGACTTATATATTCTTCTCATTCTAATTACTATAGAAAACAGTAAACAAAACAAGTCATCAAAATGGGGAACCAATATATTTCTTGATTGTTTTCCCACGTACCACACCATCCTATAATTTTCAAATGAAATTCATCACAATTGTAGAAAGCAAAAGCCAAATGGCAGAATAAAAAGAGTAATTTTCCAAATTCATGATCAACAAAAGTAGCAAGTTCTAATCCATGATTAAGTATATTAGTTCCATGTTCTAGCAATGTCATATATCATGCTACAAATAGATAATTACTGTTGTCCCTGAGAATGCCAATGACAACAGCCAACTAGTTTTCAACATAAGGAACAGTATATAATCACTGTTACCATGTCTAAAGTAATCTCAAATTTCTGAAAAGTGCATCTAGATTACCACTTAAACGAGTAAAAAAATAAATAAATAAATAAATCATTCCCCTAGTAACTCATCATTTTTCAACCGAATTTGGTCAAAATCAGGACAGAGAGCTCAAAACCTCAGAAGGGCAAGTATACTGAATGTGACGAATTCAATGACTTGCCTTTGCATTTATCACTTTCGCGTATCATTCATACACCCTAACTGGATTCAGCCCATTTCATCATTTCATTCATATAGCTTAGGATTCAGCCCACAAATCCTAAATGGATGGATAATATGCATACCATTCTAACTAGATCTAACCTTTGAGTAAGACATGATATAATCCCAAAACAATTCAAGACAAAAATGAGACAATTGTTTACTATAATTATTCAAATACTGACAAAATTGCATACCCTTCCAAGTAGCTCTCACCAACACATGATATAATCCCAAACCAATTTAAAGACAAAATGATACAATCTTTACTAAAATCCTTCAAACACTGACATCTTAGTATTCTTTGGCACATAAACCCTTTTACAAACATCCAAATGATGTGAAGCCACTTTTAATAAGAAAAGTCAATGTAGACACAAAGAGATCTAGATCAAAATCATGTGCTTTCAACATTGACACCCTCAAACTAATGTGCATTGTTGCTTGACAGTTTTAGGGACCCATACGACTTTGGTAAGTGACCTGGTTGAAAACCAATTTGAATATTTCACTCACTCATAGATAAATCTTTCATTTTAGCCATCTGAGGAACACATTTAACTTAAAACCCTAATTTTTCTTCTTTTTCACTCTCCTCTACTTCCTAAAAAAACCCTACACAGATCCAACACATGATCTACAAATCTAGTCATAAGACTTATACATGGGATCTACCAGACCAATAGATGTAGACCAGATCTAAAAGACATTCCCAACTGATCTTCCATAGCACATAATTTTATCATATGTACCAGATACATTAGTTCTAAAGCCACATGTAAGGCAGCAAAGGTAAGAACTAAAATCAACCAGTATGCTCCCTCTTCCAACAAGGGGAAAAAATCTCCTCTCCTCCCCCGTCACAAGTCTCACTACCACCATAACCACCACCCCATCATAATCAACTTGCCATAACCATCATCCCGTCACAACCACCCCAACACTTCCACCAACTCGCCACCCCCACGACATCCTAATCCACTGCCACCACATCACCCCAGCACCCAAACCAGAAAACCCTCCCACCCACTCGAAAAACCCCCACCACTCCATCACACCCACCAGCTAGCCACCCCCAGTTCCCCATGGGCCACGATATCCTAACCCACCAACTTGCCGCTGCCCCACATCACCCTAGCACCCAACCAGATAACCCTCTCACACACTCAGAAAACCCCCACAAGGAAAATCACTCACACAAAAAAAACCACCACCCCAAAAAATTGATTGTAAAATGGCAAAACTTCCATAACATCCTTGTAATACAAACACAGATGGCGGCTTCATTACATTTTCATGACATCAAGGCGGCTGTGACTTCCAAATTCATCCCTTCTAAACCTTCTTTACGGAACTTGGGTTTCAATTGTTGTCCCCGACAAAATCAATTCAAGGTATGTAAATCAATGGCGATTGAACAACACAGAGAATTCTTTCAGTCTGAAGGTAGAGGAAGAGAAACATACTCAACCAACTATGGGAATAATTTAAAGACTAAAAGACTTTCACAGTGGTTCAGAAGTTTAGTAATGGATTGGGGCGATGTTGAAGGAGGTGAAGCTGATTTCAATGGAGCTGAAGATGGTGGTGGTTACGGTGAGGAGGAAGGCGAGGATGAGGGGAAAGAAAATGAATTTACCCTGCAAAGCAAGTTGTAAGTAAACAAACTCATTTAAGAAGGAAGAAATGTAGAATTATTTACATGATGGTGGGATTGTGTTAAGCGGACCAGTTAAAGATGGGATTATTGATTTCAATTATCCAAAAAAAAAAACTTCTACTATAGAAGTCAGAATGGTCAACTTTCTTTTTAGAAAGAATATGATCTTATGTTTACCATTATATCTTTCACTCATACCAGATGAGTGATCCAATCAATTTTTTGATTGAAGCTTTTATTTTGCAACTAAGCACTACGTCTGCCGCTAATAAACTAAAACAAGTACTCATGTAGTGTAGTAAAAAGGTGTAACAATAATAACAAGATCGCCAATATATGAAGTCACTTCAAATCTTCAATGAAAACCAGTAACTAAATCAATCATAGTCCTTTAAAGCCTTGCAGACTTCAAACAGACAAAAAAAAAATCAGAAGTTTTCAGGATGTAAGATATTAGTAGAGCATAAAATAATGCATTAAAATTATTACTTCTGACAAGCACATAAAATTCAATAATCGTGATAGTATTCTATATGATTGGCATTATTGAACCAACCATAACCCAGCAGAAACTCTTTAAAATGTAGATATACTCATAAACTAACATCCTTTGAGCTATTGAACTATTGAACAATTGAACAATTGAACAAACAGATATGATGATACCTGTTACAATGCATAAATCAGGAGACTTTGTACACGCACCAATAAACCGAACAACATTATCATGTTGCACCTCCCTGCATAGAAAACCAACTAACATTAGTACACAGTAAAGGGGGAGGGTAGGAGAGAGAGGCAGGAAGAGGAGGGATACTCCACACAATTATATTAAAATTCTTGTCCTTAAGGGGTTGTGTGCATTTAAAGGTCTTTTTAATATGATGCATATTACTTATAGTGAATCATCATGAATATGCTGCTATAACTATTTCTATATTAGTGTTCTATGAATTTGTACTCGGCACACAATTGACAAATGAAATTAAAGACACTGTTCGGAAATTTAGCATTGAGACCAATAAAGCCTGAACAAGCAAATTGAATGGAGAAGAATAATCCGTGTTCATCATTACTGCATCAGCTCTTCTAATTCAAAGCACCTATACTAGCTCTGAAACACCAACAATCCAGCATTTCTCTCTTTCCCTCTTTTATCTCAGATCCATACATAAAAGAATGCCTTATAAACTCAACTCCCCAGGTAGCAAAAAACCCAATAGCAATATAAAATGTCCACCCAGTAATGCTGAATTAGCTGGTTAAACAGACATAATAACTACTATTGACTGTCTGGCAACTTTCAGTTCCTTGTTATCTCATCAAAATCAAGAGTCAGTCTCCCCACACTCTTGAGACACTAAAAAGGCCATTTTGGAGCTCTTATTACCTGAAGTAAATCACATTAATGTGTTTCATATGGGCAACACTTTGTTTACTTGTCCCAAAGCATTCAAAATCAATGATATTGATAGCTGCCATTAAATTAAATTACCAGTTGGACCTCAAATTCAAACAAAATGGCCTCTACAAGAAAATCCAATTCTTCCTCAGCTCCATATTAATTGCACTTGTACAATTTTACGCTTCCCAATGTACAGCATCATCAATGCTTATAGAAAGATTAAAAGTATGGCACACAGACCACAATAAATTCATTAGCAACCTCTTGACCAAAACATATCCTTTTGCAATCCTTACTTCCCCCTTAGATTGCAACAACCCAGTAAGATCAGTGTTCAAAACAGACACCAGAAAGGGGGAAAAGATAGCAGTGGTAACACATCAATGCTCACCTTAAAATTGCAACTTCTTGAGCAAACTCTTCCTCTGATGCTTCAGTTAGATGCTCAGATCTGAGAATCTTGACAGCCACATCCTGACCAAGGTACACACCTCGATACCTTGGAAAAAGAGCAAAACAAAGATAAGCAACAGAAGGGAAATTTGACATTGGTATAAGAAGCGGTTCCACTTACAGATCCCCGCACGATCCAGATGCAACTTTGTCCCCAATCTTCAACAACCTTCTATCTATTTCCCAATTTCCAGGTTCTCCATGTGCAGCTAGTGCTTTCTTCACCGAAAATTTTGAATGCGATGAGCCAGACCACGAACCCTATAATTTATAGAACTTCATTGAACTGTATTCCCTTACAGAGTATAACAAAGAAATAGGGTCTTGAAAACAAAATCCCTGACTGCGTACAAATAATATATACATACATGCACGTAAATGATGACAAAGATAAGACAATAAGATTTCTCCAACACCTAACATTTGCAAATTAACCCAACCCAACCCCTTCGAATTATTTCAGGTATCTCATCAGAGCCCCAGCTTCATTAGCTAAGAATGTCAAAGTACTTTACCCCAACAGCCCAACAAGCAGCTTGATAAGGACATAAGGTAGATCCTAAAAGAAACCCGCATTATATTCAAACATAATTGCCATAGAACATTGTGCATCTGCATGGCCACAAGTTTTTCTCTTTGAACCCTCCAATCCCCACAAAGCTTAATTGTAAGTTTGTAACAATCCAAGATAGTCGAATAGCCAACTCAAAACTTCCCAGGGATAAAAGATAAGCATCCTAAATGATAATGCACCACCTATCAATGTACAAAAAAGCAAGGACCTGCAATCAACAACTCCACAAAGCATCCAGCCAATTAAAAAATATAATTATTCTGTTGTGCCAAAAGAGAGTCATTGATGTCTTCAATCCTACTATCACAAGCTGTTGAAGCCTCCATCACCAAGCTCACCTTTCACATTAACATCTACGAATCGCTGCGATAGAAAATCTATTACTGCCTCACTTAGCGTAGAGAACGGATCTGAGTAAAGTTCCAAGCAATCTTCAGGTTGACCTTCTAAGTTCTAACACTTCTCTATTAAAGCCTATTATAGCAGTATGGCAGTATCTTACCAACACTAACAAGAGTAACAACCACATATAAGCTCTCTCCCTAAAAGGTACTTAGCCTTCTGAATGAAAAGATCCCTGAAGATTCCTGACTATCGAAGTTATCTCCCTCACCCCCTTTAATGTAAATGAAGAACCAAGCACTGTTACTAGAAAATGGCCATAGAAGCATAATGTAGCATCGATACAATTAATAAACATGGGAAACATACACTGCAAGAGAAATCTACACTTAAAACATCCTCATGAAGTCTAATGTGTAGCCTATCCAATCTTATGCCTAACCAACAGGTATACTATAGACAAGCATGTCTAACAATGTCAACTCACTAGCTCAGTGGATAATAAGCATCTCAACCATATTTAGCACAATCAATATTCGCAGTTGATAACATGATGTCACAGTCACAATTTATATTCACTGTTGATAACACAATGTCATACTAACTCAAGTCCAAAAGAAAAACACCACAACAGATTCCCTGCTGGAGGAAAACTTATAGACACTGACTTCATACACCCCAAGCCTCCTTCCACTTCTAACCTAATCAAGATAGTCCCTTTTCTCCTCAACAGCCTAAAAAACCCTAAATATTTTCTTGAGCTAAAAAAAGCCTATAACAAAATATTCTACCACTCAAGGAAGCAAAAACATTCCACTGATTTCCTCAAAAGTCTTATAATCTACAGCTGTCAAAGAGTCTCCAGGTGCATATTACCTCCAATATAACAGACCAAGATAAACAAAGAGAACATTCTGGTTTCACATCCAACCAGAGCAGCAGACTCCAAAAGGCATCATGGTCAGCACTAATCCTAGTAAGTTACATTTTAATTAGGTTAATCATCACTCCTGCATCAATTCAACATCTCAATAATATAAAAACATTGAGCACCTTCAAATAATCAAGGTCAGCACCCAAAGAGTAAGCATTGTCATCCACATACTACAAATAGAGCACCTATGCCTCTTTTCTCCCACCTCAAACCGCTAAATCATGCCTTAGCATACCTTCTCTAGTGTCCTTAACGATGAATACCTTCAAGCCAAAAGATTGGCCAAGCATGGAAAACAGCACCGTACTGTTGCTTCGTGCTGCTATGTCAAATTCAAGGGTTGGTCTAGATTATGACCCATGGCCCCATATACCTGTCACAGAGTCATGCCATGCCCTAATGGCTAAGCTTAATTTTCCTGCTATTGTTGTGCTTTGTCATGCCAAAGTTAATGCCTTGTACCAAAGTGTGTTTTCCAGACAAAAACAGTGACTTTGCAAACACAGAGTCATCATGGAACATACCTCAGGCCTTCGCTGTGCCTTTGATGTGCCGTGATTTATGTGCCAGTTTGTGAATTGCTTCACCAGGCCCAGCTAGAGCCATCTGTAAGCATCTAGCAAGCACATCAATCACGGCAGTAAAAAGGGAAAGGTGGGGGAAAAAAAACCTGTCATATTCCCCCACATGGAGATAATCTCTGAAAGCACCAATTACCATCACATTAAAACAAACATGATAGTACAATACCAACACCCACCAAAACCCTTCCACCACCAAGGTTTCTTAAAACTCGGAAATCATCTGGACATAACCCTTCCAAAAATCTAACTCGCACATAGTAATCTTACTAGCTTAATCCTTTCCAACAACTTCATCCATGGTCAAGCAGCATGAGCCACCTCCACGAACTTTCTTACCTCCACAAAACTGCACAATTAGGAAGCACAATGCTAACCACATCTCTATGACAATCCTACAAGTACAATAATCTTGAACAGCCTTGATGGATCAACCTTCTTTGGATGAGAATAGTTATGCTCTACACAGTATCACCAATTTATGGAAACTCCCCAAAAAGTGTTACAAGGTCTTCCTTGAAGCACATCCAACAATCTTCAGAAAGCACCATTGTAACCACATCTAACCAGGTGCCTTCACCTGATTCAACAGATTTGTCCCATCTCACCTCCACATTGAATTTTCTAACCAACCACATGATTAGCCATGAAACATTTCCAAAAGTATATCGATCTATGCACAGAACTAGCATTTCCATCATGATTCATGACTAGACCTGGTTATTGGACAGGTCTAGTAGCAACCGGTGCAAGTCGATATCAAGTTGGGTAAAAAATGGGTCACTTTTTATTGGGTCAAAGAGGGTCGGGCCAATGCAGATTGCAAATCAATTGCAAGTCGATAATGGGTGAGCCAATAAACAAGCAAAGAAAGAGTAGAGGAGAGACAAATTAAGGACATATAAATACAGAACTATACATATAATTTTTTTTATATTTTCTATTTCTATTAATTTGGGCTAGCATTTTGGCCTTGTATTAACCATTTCCATCAAAAAGCCATATCCAATAAAAAAAACCCTTTAGCCTTAGTCCAAACCCTAAACCCTACAACCATGTCCAATAACTAGGTCTAATCATGACACACAACAAAAATTCAAAATAGGACGAAAATTTTCTGCATACGCTGCTGCTTGAATTTTCCAAAAGCTAAACTACTACTTTTTGCCAGCCATTCATCAAGCCCAAGGAAATAAAAGCAAAGAGACTTATAAAAATAAATTTACAGGGACTAACAGAACTCTTAAAAGAAGAAAGGATGGAATTGCAAGGAGGAAATATTACCTACGTACCAACGCACCAGTTTAAAATAAACAGCATCCATGCCAAAATAAACACAAACATATTGCATGAACCACATAGTCACTTCCATATCACAAAAAAACATGATAAAGAACAAAATATCATAAAAGTAGGATCTCTACCTCACTCTTATCTATTGCTTCTTCCATAGCTTTGCGCAAGCTATCAGCATCCTGATCATAACATCGCAAAGTCAGCAACAATTTGACTCAGCACAGATACCTGCTTCATAAAAGTATAATTGCAATGTCCTATTAAAGGCAAGCTCACAAAGCATAAATACTGTTTCCCCTATCGACAAGAAACTGGTTCTCAATTTTCCTATAAAGCTTAGACCTGATCTAGATGACATATATTTTGACATTCTACAACAAATTCACAATCCTAACAAAAAAAACAGTCTGCAAAATAACATGTCTGCTTGCGGTACTGACGGGGTAATGATTTCCATTTTATAAAAGGGCAGTAGAATCTAGCCAGGGAAGATACTCCGGTTGCGATTAGCAGAAATGTAACAATACAAGCCCCAAAAGCAGAAACTTTGACAGACATCTGAAAACAAGCAATACAAGGGAGAACATCTTGACAAACAATTAGTGTAGCAAGTGGTAGAGAGGCTAAGGCTTCTTTTGTATTAGTTACATTGTAATCTGCGAATTGCTTATCAGCTGAATGTGTATACTAAGGCTTTTGTTCTACTATTCTGTACAAAATGCTACTCTGGCTCCATATTGTATCTTGAGGTAATATAAAGTTTGTAGCAAGTATGGTGGTTGGCTAAAATTTATCTCAATGTAGAGAAGTGATAAGTGCAGATGGAGCAATCCACAATTAGTTCATCAAATAAAGATGGTCATTGGAATATTCTGGCCCAATGAACCCAACTCGGCCCTGCTATACAGAGATTTAAACCAAACTACCTCACAAGCGGGACGGTCCCAGGTTTAATTTTGTAAGAATTAAAGTTGCACAGCTTGCCTAGACCAGCCACGGGCCCAGGAGGATAGAGCAATGTGTAACTACCACGATAAGGTAAAACAAACAAACAAACAAAAAAGGGAAGAAAATAACTCTTATTACCTTCTCCCCTTCCAGCTGCCATCTCTTTCCACCAATGCTATTCCCTACTCCCACTGGCCCAAAAAATGGTAATAAATAAATATATACAAAGTATATTTTTCTGTTCATTGACCTACCTTGTCCATCCCTCCCCAACTCCCCACCACCCCCCCCCTCCCCGCCCCCCCAAAATATATATATATATATATATATATATATATATATATATATATATATATATATATATCACTCCAAATATGTCACGTACTCACTTCCAACTTAAGCAAATCAACAAGTCATCACCAAGATAAACCCCCACTTTCCACCCCCAAAGTTACATGTAAATATATATCTACAACTTAACCACAATCTAATTTTTTTTTTAAGAAAATATCCTTCCATTGCTTAGTTTCTAAGCTTTAACAATTCTATAGATTACTGAATCTATACAGCTATGCCTACCAACATTAAATAAATACATGATTTTAGATCTGGTTATGACTAAAAGCAGTGGTTGGTCGTGGAAGGGGAGGGGGGAGTGGAAGATGATAAGACTACTGATGATATTAAGGGTTTAGGATAACTTTACTTCTATAACCCCATCATATTTTAAACTTTCAGCATAACAGATCAATGTCTGGCTCTAAATTATCACAACAATAGATCAAAGGAGACGCATACAAAAATATGAACACAAACAATAATGAACGGACTAATGATGAAAAAGTGCATCTGGAAAAACAAACTAGAGATCAATAAGCATCAAACAAATAAAGAAAACATAATCATACCAATTAGAACTCAGGAAAGTACGTATAGGAAATTAGGAATACTTTAGAAATAAAAGTGTATGATGACATGGTGACTGATTAGCCAAAAACAAGAAAAAATGAATAAAGCAAGCAACCATGCAATTATAAGGACTAAAAAAGAATCCATTATAATTTCCAACCAACAGCATGTTATATAAAAAATTTTGTGGAAAAGATAACATATTACAAAGTTCTAAATTCACAAAGGGTTCATAGGATGTTCCAAAGAGACAAATTTTATATCCGTCTCAAAAAGTATCCATTATTTAGAAAGATATATGTGTAGAGAGTGTCATTTGTTGCAATGTAAACTAATTTATTTCCAATTGCTTTAGTAACCCAATGAATATTGGAGTTGACCATTTGTTTTTTTTAAGATAAAAGGAATGACTGACTAACCAACATTCCAGAATCCTGGTAATAACAAAAATTTGCAACAACTATATCTTAATTTCTCTTCCGCATTCAATACAAATAATGAACTATGGAGAGATTGAGCTTTGAGGACTGGTATCCCTAAGAGTATAAATTTTAAAGAAGAACATAGATTGCATTTCATAAATGTATGCAAACGTATATGTACAAACAAGCAAAAACAAAATCCTAGCCACCCACGGACATGCACAAACACGAACATATACAGAACAGGTCTAAAGAATATGAAGACAATCAGACAGAAATGTCAGAAATTTTCGAGGCAAGTATTGGAAAAAAAAAATTAAAAAAAAATATTGAAGCAAAAAAATATTAAGTCTCAGCATAAGCTTGAAATTCCAGAGGCAAGTGCTCATCTTACTTGTAAGACACACATGACACATCATCCCATATAATTGGAAATATATTGCATTTATTTAACAAATGAGATTTATTTAAAGTAAAGATCTGTTCATAACAGTAGCTAATGAACAGAGAATACCTCCAAAGGCCATCCATCCACTACAAATACATCCAAGGAGTAGCCATCAGTGGTTGAGAATACATGTGCTTCGCGAATGTTAAGCCCTATGTCAGAAAGCAATGCAGATAGCTGCAAAGAGATCACACAATATTGGCAGTTAAAATAGACTCTACGAACTGTCAAACAATCAAACTAAAAAATATATATGAATATTTCAAATAACAGGAAGGATCATATAGAGCACAATGATGGATGATAATGAATCATTGCCAGCTAACTTCTTAAATCTTACACTTAGCATGAATATAAATATAAATACAAAAATTCTAATTCATTTAACTAACCCACCCCCAAGGGGGTTATTTTAAAGAAGCAAGCCTCTTAATAACTACTACAAGTCTACAAGTCAAATTAATAAAATGACAAAGGTTCGAGATTAATAACCACTTGTATATCCTAAGCAATCTCCCTTTGCAGGAAAAACTAGTCAATCAGTTTTTCTTTTTGTTTAACTAAGAATACAAATCATAAAATGAAATCCACAAGAAACTAGCATTAGAGATATCACAGCCTCGGGAGCAAAAGAGAGAAACAGAATAATACAATTGCTTCTATTGGTTGCTCTCTCAGAAAAAGGCCTCTAATCGGCACACTTCACAATCATATCTGCATAATAATCCTTGACTGGTACTCTCTCCATTCTTGAATGATTGACACACTTCCCATTTAAATCCGTTCCGAAATAATTGATACATTACTAAAAAGGCAAGGACCGACAAATATTTAATTGTTTTTCTATCTTGCACAATGGCCCACCACTTTTGGGGTTAATGTTTAAAATATCCCCCATCCCCTTACATTGTACAATGGCCTACCACTTGCACTATTTTAATCAATTAATAAATTTCCACTAACTTCACTTTAAAATAAACAATTCAATAAACTACTCCATTGGAAAAAAAAAAATTACAAAATATTAAGAGGAGAGGAGGGGAGGGGAGGGGGGGGGGCTTACATTACCGTCTCCGTGAACATAAAATTTATCTTTCCCAAATCTGAACCACCATCAGCTTCACCATCCCTATGGATTGACCCACCGTAACCACCCCCATTTAGCAAACCCGCTGTTACTGATGAAAGGTTAAAACCTACCCTTGGGCTTTCTTCGAAATTAGCCAAATCTAACTCTTTAAATGTCGAAATGGGCTGGTAGTTCCAAAATTCAAGCAACCACTGCCATATTCAATCACTGTAGAGTTGACTTCTGCCAAATTTCCCAATGGATCATTTGTAATTTCCAGGCTGGTGGAGTTGGAGTTCTGACGGTAGTTGATCTTGGCTCAGTAGTTATGATGCTTGGGTATTTCCTCTCATTGGTGGAGCATACAGAGAAATTTTCAAATATATATAATGTTGACTTGCGTAAGGGGTCTTCTGCAGGTTGAGGGAGGTTGGGCTTGTCAGAATTTCAGTAGTAGGGTTTGTTGTGTAGGCAGTGGTGGTAGGGGGGTTCATAGGTTTGTTAGGGATTAAACTGAGGGTGTGCGTGAGGAGAAATCAGGTAGTGGTTTGTGTTACTGGTGGAGATTGGGTCATGTCTCCAAGATTTTTTTTTTTTTCTGTGGTTTGTGGGGGAGAGGTGGGGGTAACCAACCATAGATATGCAAAAGGTGATATAGTCTATTGCTAGCATGTACGGCAGACAAAACTTAAATTTAGCTAATGCTGATGCAATAACTGACAGCTATTATACTACAGACATGCAGTCACAGGTCAGAGGTGACAAGCAATAACATTATGATTATGGTTCAGAAATCAGAATCACAAACAAAACGATGTAGAGCACTCTGTAGCATGCAAACAGAAATTTGAAACCTAAACTCTTATTCAAAAAGAATCAAATTATTACTGTGCCAAAGACATCTGCATGTTTTAGCATAACCTTTTGTTACTCTAGATGAATTGTAAAGTCCCACTCTCGGCACAGTAGGGGGAATGTTAGACATCATATGCAGCCACCTTAGATAACAGTGACGGATGCTTCTAGTTGACCTTAATCAAATTGCAACTTTGTTGGGGTGGTTGCAAGTTATTTTAATAGAACACGGCCAAGGACAAACTAAGTGATGAATTTTTTGCAGTATATTACTTCAAATGATATCAAGGACCGGAATTGCTATCATAAAATACTACGGTACTATCCTACTCCGGAAACAAAAAGAAACAGATAACTAAGGAATGAAACAGCTGAACGAAGACTCTTATTTGTTTACCTGACTAAGAAGCTTGGGTTTATCTGGTGTTGAGCATATTACTTCATGAACTGGAGCATGAGAAATCTCCGGCCTGCAACATTAATTCTAGCATTACCTCCTCGATGAAAGATATACCACAAAGAACAGTGTACAGTACTCCAAATACACACTGTGGGTTACCAGCTAGAGTAGATAAAATAAATGACAAAATTTTAGCTGTTACTTGAAGTGAGGTTTCATATCAAGCCATCAAGGATCTTTTTTTTGGAGATCAGCTATTAGCTGATGGCATAGCTGTTTCCTAATTGGTTTGATTGACTAGCTGTCTAGCTTTACCAGTTGATTAGCTGTTTGTATTGGCTGTTTCATCAGCTAGTAGTATTGTAACAAAACCAACAAATTTTGGGCAAAACAAAGCCAATGAGAAAAAGCCATTCCAGATTTTCACCCCATTGAAAAATCATTAACCATAATCTAATACTAATTAATCAAATTAGTATGATAATTGCCAAAACCAATCAAGAACCTAAAGCCATGTCAGAGTAAAACAAAAAAGTACCTAAAGCCATATAAGCCAAATTGAACGTCAAAATAATTAGTCAGAATCTTCTAGGACATTCAATTGATACGCAAGAATCTAGGGGAGCTATGGTATTGATTTTAAGTTTCATTGAGCAGCAAGTAGCACCCCTTAAAACGCAATAATTCTGAAGGAGGGCAAGAAATCCAACTCACTCCTATCCAGGAAAAAAAAAATCTGAACACTAAATTATAAAATTGAGAAGCAAAAGAGAATACAACTTGTCCCAAATGTTGCTACTTTCACTACATATATATAAGTACCACATAAAGTAACACTGCAGGGTCCATATGCCTCTGCTTTAATGTTGACCTAAGCCCTGCTTTTCAGCATGCTGAAACTTGCAAAAGCTTGAAAACTTACAATCAAATTCCAAAATCTCAAAAAGCCTTTCAAATAAGATAATATAGATGGTAAATTGTCTGTGCATGACATTAGTAACTCCTTGAACTCTCATGCTATTAATGACTCTAGGTCATCCAGGATAATTCCCAATTGACCTGTGTTCAAGCAGTTGACATAATCATCAATTATCACTATATATTTATGTGCTCCTTCCATCCTACCAAGGCATGCATTATAAATTTTAGTTGTGCCTGAAAAAATAAATAACACCCAAACTGCCTCATATATCAAATCTAACCATTGGTTAATACATAAGCGCAACAAATGGTACAAAGTTCTTAACTGCTTGACTGAATTAGAATAACCAAGCACAAGAATCTTTTTTAACCAAGGAGATACTATAAAAACTAAAATCCGGCAGTGGGACATACAACTATAAGCTGCTGACGGCAGGCATACAGTTAATAAGTAATAGACTCAAGCTTTCACTGAATTACAAAATTCCCTTAGTCCAACACACCAAACTTCTAAGGTCTAAATTAGTAGGAAAGGAGTAGATACCTCTTTTCCATCAATCTAGAGTTCTGTCTAACCTCCAAATTAAGATCTTCCAGCTTGGAACAAGGTTCAAAAGCCTTTCCTTCTTCCCTGAAACAAAAGAGATCAGAATCACACTGAAAAAATGGAAAACTGTAAAAATAAATGTTGTAAATTGTGAGGATTAACAACAAATGAGTTAATAAAAAAAAAATCATGGAATACAGTTTTTTTAGGCAAGTAAGCACTTCTCATTGACCAAAAAGAGATAAGGAATACAATTGAAACTTTGAAAGAGCCAGATTACTTGTTCTGCAAAGGTTCTCCATGATTGGCATCGGAAGGCAGCATTGAAACAGATAAACAGCCCTCAGCCTGATGCTCTTCACCACCCTCTGGTTTAAAGTTCTGCCAAAAAAAGAAATTAGCACTTGTTGAATGGACAAAATATTACAAAACAACAGGAAAATTACCACAATACATCCCCCCAATAAGGCCTCCCCCCTTCCTTGTGTTGCAATATTTATAGAATGAAGGAAGTATATGACAACCATAAGACTGACAACCCTTTGCGACGTATGACTACTCATTTAAGTAAAAGCCTACATCTCAATCCAAATCAATTCTACTACCATAATATCCAAATGCATCAATGATGTTCCATTACCCAATTCTAGTGAAAGATAGCCCCAATATTTAGAGGTTATAAAGCAGAAGCCTCATGTTTGTTTTTTTTTCCCCGTGTAGGATTGGTTCTTTATATCTTGACACAAATGATTAAATTTGATCAGAAAGCTATACTTTGGATCTTGGTGACAGGCAACTAGATAGTCTAGATCTAGAAAACAACTCCTAGTTTGTGTTAATTATTCTCTCATTGCTAATTTCCCCATTGCTTGACCTTCATCAGACAGGGAACAAGACTGTGCTCCCAAAACTCATTGTTAAGAAAAATTGGCATAGGAAATCATTATTTACAACTACAAAAAAACAAAGCTTTATTCCCAAAGGAACAGGGTTTCGCACCTAAAAATGATGGTTAAGAAATTTGTGTAGGAAATCATCATTTACAACAAGAAAAACAAAAACAAAGCCTTTTTTTCCTGAATGAATGTTATAAATCTATTTTACAACTGTTATTAATGCCTCACAACAACTCAGGTTAAAAATTAACAAACAAATAACAAATCCGATGAGGCAATGACCAGATATTATTCAACACATGAGAAGTAAATAATTTCCAGCCATCCAGAACACGAAAAATGGAAAAATTGCAGCCATAAAGGAGCTTGTCACTATGATCAATACACATATCATACCTTTCGCACAACATTCCTATATGCTGAATCATTTCTTATGTATAACTTAAAATACATACCGGTCTATAAGAAATAGAACAAGGTCTACAGACAATATTAAAAGTTTCAGACTAAAGCTATTTGATTTTAACTTTTTCTAATTTACATGAATTGAAGATTATTTCAGCATCGGCCAAAAATTTAGTACCTCCAAAGCACGAACATGGAATACAGGTCTCTTTTCAGGGTCCTTGGCCAATGCAAGAAGCTTTCGATGTAACAATACGTCTTCTGCTCTATCTATATTTATATCCAAACCATAACTGCGGCAATATGAAATTTCAACAAAAATTAGCTAAACTATCAACATGAGATCCTAGCATCTGCAGTTTCTACACTCTTATGATGTATATAGAGAGTCAAAGAAAGAAAAACACAGCAAGATCAGCAATCCATTTATTTGTTCATTGAAACACAGCATCTCCAATATTGCACTAATCAATCTATCAAGTCAAATTAGATGTGCTACAACTGTAAAAAAATAAAAATAAAATAATAATAATAAATAAATAAAATAAAATAATAAAGTTACAAAAGGAGTAAACAATGACAAAACAGAAAATAACACAGCATTACTTTCTACATATCTACAGTTAAAGGACATTCACAGATCTAAATGTAAAAGACGTTTTTTGCATTGGATTATAGCTCAATATGAGCAACACAAAATAATTACTCTATCTCTCTGTCCGGATTTCAATGTCATACTACTTTGTTCAACTTACACACAAATTCCAAACTGAGAAGTATATACATAGACAACGTCCAATTAAATCTCAGTATCTCACCACATAAATTTGCAAAAACATTAGTCAAACATAAATTTGCTCAAATTTCTCCACATACACCAAACAACTACACACTCATTAAGTCTTGTCACATAGCAAGGTCAAAACTCAGATTACACTTTCAATGTAACTATGAATTCCAGACCAAAAAACATCATGACACTAACAACATAGCATCTGCAATTTCTGCACTAATTTAATGTATCAAGTCAAATTTAATGTATCAACAAAAAAGGAGCTAACTGTAAAGATTTTTTTCACTTATATTAGCTTCATTCATACCAGGAACTACACACACTCTCCCGTCCAAATATCATTCACATTACACAACGGATGATGTCAAATTCAAAGATAATGTCGCATTCAACCTCAAATGATAAAGAAAAATTCATCAAACAGAAAATTCGCTCGAATTTTTCCACATAAACAAAAACAACTACACTCACATTACTACTTCAATTAACTTCAAATTATACTATCAATGTAACTATTAACTTCAAATTATACTATCAATGTAACTATTACATCAAATTCAACCACAAATCATCAAGAAACACTGTAACACAGAAATTCATAAATTATTTTCTAAAATGAGAGAGGAAATTCATACCTAGGAGGCAATTGATTGAAATGAGCATCCAAGATCTCACGAAAATCAGGATTAGAAACAGCTTCATCATTTCCATTTTCAATCAACCGATTATACACATCGTTTCGAATATCAAACAATACACCTCCGATTATTCCACCACCACCGCCGAAACTCCGAGGAGGTGACGAACTCTCTCCGACTCCTTCAATCAACTCCATTATTCACCAATTTCACACAGAAGCAATTACTTCCAAGAATCAAACTACAAAACAATAAAAAAAATTCAAAAAAAAAACTAAGTTATAATCAGTAAAACATACAAGTAATAACACGAAAAATGAAGAGAGAAAGAGAGAGAAAACTGACGAATTATGAAGTCCGCCATTAATGAAGAATCGGAGAAACTTGGAGGAAATGATCAATTTTCAGAGGAGAGAGAAAGTGGAAGAGTGAGAAAGTTCTGGAGTTAAGACAAAAAGTATAATCTGCAGAAATTTTTGGAGAAGAAGGAAGAGAGAGAGAATTTGGTAGGAGAGAGAAAGGGCATTGAAGAATGAAGAAGACTTGAAGACTCTGGTTTTTATTTGGTTTATTTGAATAGAAAAAGAATAGAATACGGCCCGGGCTCATTGGAGTGGATAAGGAGGAAATTTGGCAGGTCTATTTTTATTTTCAATTGCCTATTTTAGTCCATTTGCCATTATTAGTATATTAGTATTTCTCTATTTTTGTTTTTTTTTTTTTTTTGGATTTTCACTAATATACGAGTTCTAAAGCCTATGTGTTGATAGGACTTTGGGTTGCTCTCGAGTTGCTTTGTTTAGCCTTGACAAAAAGTATACTAATGTGATTGAAAATCTTGGTAATTGTGATTTTATAAGCTTGGTAATGATTTCTACCTTTTGATGTGTCTACCTAACTGAGTTTAAGTTGGACTCTACTAAGGGTTAATAAAAAAATTAAAAAGGCTTGCTAAAAAACAAATTAGCTAGAAAAGTAGGGTGAAAACAAAAGTGTTGGATAAGATAATGGGACCCCTTTGTACCATGAGTTTTCATTTCCAAAATTTTCACAGAATCATGGCGGGTGATTTTTTTTCCCGGAGAAAATGGAGTGAGTCTTCACATTGCCGAGAACATCAACATCACATGTGACTGGGTGAACTTCTCCCGCGAGAATTTGAGATACGAGTTTCAAGACGACGAAGAAAACTTCCTCACGTTCAAAAACATGATGATGATGATGGAGGCGAACGAGTTAGATGTTATGGAAAACAATTAACCAATACTAACTAAACCCAGAAAGGTGTTTATTATAATTAATACCATTGAACAACATGATGGTATTCTAAGCAATCAAATAGATACCATCAAAACAATAGATGGTATTACAATGGTACCAATATTTATCTAATTTTTTTTAACACAACATAAAATTACTCCAAATTAACGGAAATAACATGTTTATAATCAATACCATTGAACATCGGGATGGTATTCTAAACAATTAGGAAGATACCATCAAAACAGTAGATGGTATTACAATTATACCAATATCTGTCTACAATTTTTTAACACATAACATAAAATTACTCCAATGGTACCAATACTAACTAAGCGCTAGTTCAGAACCACGACAACTTCACCGACCCAGAAATTTTGAACTCAAAGGCTACGTCTCCTTGAATTCTTGGTCTTGCGTCTCTTCGCCCCTTGAATTTCTCTCTGTTCAATTTCTCACTCTACTCAGTAAAGTACTCAAATTGCTTACTCTCTCCTCTAAAAGTGCACCTCTTTACAATTAACACCAACTTCTTTTTACACTTTAAAATTCAAAATTTGTACTGAACACGAAGGGCGGCCTACACCTATATAATAGGACAGCTTTTACATAACATTACCTTTTAACCCTTGGTAGAGTCCAACTTGGACTCAAGTAGGTAGAGACCAAGAAATTATGTGATGTGTCGGGTCTAAGTATAAGTTAGCTTATTATCTCCTTCCTTTGAAGTTGTCCACGACATCCATCTATTTGGGGCTTACTATTATACAAAGTATTAATTAAAAAAAATAATGGTCTTTTCAATGTTCTTTCTACGTTTCGATAAAATGCTTACATTTGCCTTTTCACAACCTGTAAAGCCAACATTTGATTAATATTTTCAATAATTAATTATGTACACTACTTTGTACTATACTCATTAAATGCATATTCCTTATTAACTCACTAGTCAAAAGTCGGCAAAAGAAGAATGAGATCACTAATTATTAGTTCCTTACTAAATGACCAAGGGCTACTACAACATGGTCGACAAGATATACAAGCATCATTGTTCAATCTCTCAATAAAAACCTAAAAAATTGTGTGATTCAATCTCACCTTATGACACAACAATTGATACAATGATTAGAAAATTACATCTTCCTTAGGTAATTTCTCTCAACTTAATATTATGGAGCTTTGTTTTCTACTTCTGAAACATAATGTTATGTTTGACTTAGGGAATTATAAAGATATGGTCCATATCGGTTTACAAATGGAATTATGTAAAATTCACACGGACATTGTTAGGAATTATGTTATTTCGGGTATTTAAAGTGTTTTTCAAACAGGTTGTTTTTTGAAAGAATGAAACAATCTTTACTGGTAATGATTCCGAAGATTGCTACTCCAACTGAGGTGGGACATCTTTGTCCTATTAGCCTTTGTAATATGCCTTACAAATGTGCTTCTAAATGCTTGTTGTCCAAACTCTGTCAATACCTTTCTTTTCTTATCTAAGACTCACAACATGGTTTTGTGCAAGGAATTGAAGAGTTATAGCTAACAACATATTATTAAGCCATTAATTGATGGAGATAATAAACTCATAAAAACACAGAAAATAAAGCTTATGATAGGATCCACTACTAGAGTTTCTTACTAAGGTCTAAAAGCTTACTGCTATCCAAATCAATGTTTACAAATGATTCAATAATGTTTCTTTACAAAACAATCACCAATGACACTACTTCAGATTCCTTTAAACCACACACTCTATGGTTTTGCGACAAGGCGATCCGCTTTCTTTATACCCTTTTCCTTTTCCCGTGAATATTTTCTCCCACGTGCTACATTTGGGTCAAGATGTACATATGTTTCTAGGAATCAAACTTTTGAGACAAGTCCAACTATTGCACAACTTTTCTTTGTGGCATGGATGATGTTTTAATTTTATCAAGGGAAAAATCAACTTTGTGTACCAATATTGTTCATATCATTCATTATTTTATTAATACTTCTTGAGGAAAGCTTAACATGTCCAAAACTTTAATTAAACTTAGCTCAAATACAAGTACACGCTCTCAAGAAGAATTCAAATCCATCTTTCGAATGGAGCTAGTAAAGGTGTTTGACCACCATCTTGGTACTCCAATTGACTTCTTAGGGAAAAAGATGGATTACTTAAAGTTTATCAGTGACTAAACTATTAAAAGAATTAATTGTCTTAATTCTATCAAACTTTCAAAATGTGAAAAGGTTAATTTTTATTAGGTATAATGCTCTATACTTGTAGCCTTAGCTTCTAAGGTTCTTTCGTGTTTTGAGCTACCACTTTCAATAACAGGGAAAATTGACTCCTTGCGCTTCTTCTTGGCATATTCCAATTGCAAAGGAATGCGTTGGGTTGATGGACTATGCTTCTTCCTCAAGGAATGGGCGGTTTGGGGATTAGTTGTCTCTCTGAAGTAGGTTTGGAGATTCGTCACATACCCATAACTACTTGTTTAAAAAATTTATTGTGCTTGCATGACCTTCCTCTCTAACTCTCAAAACAATACACCTAGATTCACGGGTTGTAATTCTTTTGTGTAATACTATGAATTTTTGAGTTTTATCATATGGAAATTTTGACTTTTGCTACCTCTAAAACACATGCATTTCACTTTGCTACCTAGGAAAAATTTTATTTTATTTTACTACCATACAAATGACACTTTGTTAAAAATTTCTACCACTTAACGGAATCCGTCAGGGTTCCGTTAAGTTTATTTTTTAAGAAAATAATAATAATTAAATTTAAAATTTTAAAAAAAAAAACCAGTCCCTCCCGTTAACCACCCTCCCCTTGCCGGCGGCCGGCGACCCCATCCCTCTCCTTTTCCTCTTCGTTCTTGCTGTGCCGACCCCTTTTCCCCTTCGTTCTTACTGCCCGACCCCAAGCCGTATATTAATTGGCTAGTGGCTATGTAGACACCCATTTGTGTCTCCCCTAAACCAAACCCATTGATGAATACCTTTCACGTCGAATCATAATCGAATGAAGTGAAAGTGTGGAAAGTCTAGTGTTGCGGTTAGTTTTTAATTCTTTTCTTTCTCTCTGTTTTTGAAAACCTATTTTATGAAAATAGTCAATCTAGTTTAGTTTGGTCCATAGCAAGGGCCCAATAATAGTGTAGTTGGATTGGATTCGAAAAGAGCTTTCCAACGATATATTAAGCCCAATTCCGATGAATAATGAAAAAGTTATGTGAAATTTTTACCTACAACCCCCTTTAACCAATGCTGCCTACTCCCCCCATTATACTACATAGTTTTACTCAGTTTTTTTTTTGGTTTCCTTTTTCTTATTATTTTCTTTTCTTTTCTCTCATGTCATTTATATATATGATTCAAAATCTATTTTTCTGTTTTTCGTTCTTTTTTTTTTTTGCATTTTCTCTCTCTTCTTCAACATTATTTCTCTTTCAATCACGTTTTTTTTCCTCTTATTCATGATGAGTCATTGATTGGAGCTGTTGATTGTGATAATGAAGTGTTGCATTCTTCGATTGCCAAATTTGATCGTTATTGTGAAGTTATTTTTTGTAATGAAGTGCTGCATTCCTCAATTGCCGAATTTATTTGATTTTTCAAGTTTTATTAAATCAATTTAGCCCCTATTTTAGTTCAATTTGGTTTACTGTTATAATTCAAGTGAATTGAAGTTTTATTTTAATTAATTTTGTGATTGATTATATTTTTTATATACGTTTTTGTATTTTTTAGTAGTTTTATAGTTTTGATCAATTTCATAATTCTAAATGATCATTATGATTCAAACTAATGTTCTGTTATAGTTGGTTAAATTATATTTTAAATACTTAGTACTTTGTTTTATTTTATTATTTTGATCAAATTGATATTGCTAAATGATCATTTATATATAAATTGTTTTGTATTTGTATATATCTGTTATTGATTATGTTCTTTTGTAAAAACTTATGTACTGGGTGCTAGTGATGAAATTCTATATGGAGAAGCAACTAAATCAGAGTTACTTTTTAAAGATTTTAATTCCGAACAAGAAGCTTATGAAAGGTAAAATGAATATGCTTTTAAGAAAGAGTTTAGTATTGTCCAAGTGCGTGCTCCAAGAAAAGGTCAAGTTCCTTCAAGTACTCCAAGTAATGTCCAAGTTTCTTTAAGTGTGCAAGAAAGGTTCAATTTCGTCCAAGTGTTCCAAGAAATTTTCAAGTTCTTCCAAGTGTTCCAAGAGATGTTTAAAGTGTTTAACGTGGTAGCTAGTCAACATATATCTTCTAAGTATAATAGGTTGTTAGCTTTTTTTGGCACTAATGTAGCGAATAGGTTGGCAAATAATAATAAGTAAGAATTTGGATTGAAACAATATATATTTGTTCAAGCTTAATTTTTTTCCTGATAAGTGATATGTAACTGAACATATTTTGTTTTGACACTGAACATTTTCCTTTTTGGTTATGAACATTTTATTGTATTTCGTTATAACTGTTACGTAATTGAACATATGACTTTTTAATAATGAACATTTCCATTCTAATATATGTATATAACAAGCACTAATGAATTAAAAACAATATGAATATTAATGTACTTGATCATTTAAAAATCCATAAATGATCAAATATCCAAAAGAATAATATTTTTATTAATCTAAGCTTCCATAAATCTTCTTGCTCCTTTTCTATATTGCCTCTAGCTTCTGTTTAATCCAAATAGCATCAATTGA